AGAAAAGTTTGCACAACAAATCAAGGGGTATTTTTCGATTGAAATAGTCCGAGAGTGCGATGATGGCTTAGGTCTGTAGGTACATCCAAATTGTATTTGTTTTTCCTTGTTTAGGTAAAAGGTGAAAAAAAACGTAGGAAATTTTCTTTCACACGCTAGTCTTCTTCTATTGAAATTATAGCGAGTTTGGACTGTAAATTTCAAAACACGAATTTCAAAAAAGAAACGCGTCGTTTTGCCATCTGAAATATTGTCCACTTTTAATTTTATAAAACATGCGTTTACGCTAAAACCTTAAAATGAGGCGAGTTCTACGCAGTCTGCGCAAGGTAAATTTTGCTACATTACGTGTTATTTTATCACCCGAAAAAACACACGCGGGTATTTAAGCCTTCCCTTAATAACAATAACAGTAGAATACAAATAAATTAAAGGTATTTGTACGGCTGTACTGAGACGTCAGGTCGCTAATAAGTGACGACTTTCGAGTAAGTCTTCGTTTATCGTAACGAATCGTTAACCGATCGTATCGTTGTGCAATCAGTGCGGAAGGATTATGTACGCAATTTTCTGTGACAGGCGATCGACGGCCGGTTGTATGTTCCTAGCTGTGTTTAAGCAAGCCGGAGACAATATACTCGAGTATAGGTGTATGCGAGGCGTTGGAAAAGAAAATAAATACATTTAAATATGTGGCAAGGAAAATAAAGTGAAAGTCGGTCCGACCACCAGTCAGGGTTAAAAGGCGTGGGAAAACCGGGCCTCCGCAAAAGAGTGGCCGCAACAATAGAGACTTCGGAAAACGAAAATCTTTCGGATTCCGACTAGTAAACCGGAACAGGGCCCGGAACCGGTTCTAAGGAGTAAATTAACATTTTATTTAAATTCGGGGTTTTATTTTGTATCAAATAATCGGAAGTGTATATTTCTCGTAGAAATATTTTCGTTTCACATATTAGATTATTGTCTATGGTATTTTTAACTGGAAATAATTTGAAATCGCACGGCCGTCGACCGACAACGATTGATTTTTATCCACGAGAGTTCGAACACGCGGTTTGCACGTTATGAATGCAATACCGCAATGCTCGAACAACAGCTACGGGTCTTTCCAGCGAGTTGCTACGGTACACCGACTTGTATTAATATTGCATTTAGTCATTTACGTTGCGGCTATCGCCCGCACGGGCCTTTCACAGTCCGACTCTCAAACACACAGCGGCGCACCATACACGCTGTCCACACGTTTTTCACAGGAAGTACAGAGCCATTCCGTATTCTGATCGGGAAATTATCGAAGAAAAAAATCGGACAGTCTTACGTGTCGAAAAAGCTTAGCGACACTCGTTTTTCTTGTCGAGCTGAAGCTACGAAAAGGCCATAGTCGACGACCATGCGGAAATCGAAAAAGCTCGGACCAGCATATCATCCGATAAAGAGCGAGAAGACATCGCGAGGAATGAAGCAACGCAACTTCTGCAGAAGATGAGTGTTTCTCGAATTCCTGTTTCCGATTATGTTTATATATGTTTGTTAAATACGAAAAGAATCTACTTGGTTTCATAAAAAATCATTTATTGAAAAACTCGACCGAAAAAAATTGTTCATTTTGTTTGGAAAATAATTGGGGGTCAGGGGGCCTCCATTCCTTTGTTGCCCCGAGGCCTCCAGACCTCTAAATCCGGCGCTGACCAAGTACAATAGTCCACTTTCGGTTTCTGCAACTGTTGTGTAGGTTTTCAAGGACATAGAGGGCGAGCAAAATATATGTGCTTCCGCCGGGCGAACCCGGAGAAGTGACGACTCGGTCTAAAAGAGTGACGCGTCTAGCGTTTTATGCCGTTCGCGGTCCCCACTATGGCGGCTCCCATGTGATCGCCGCAGTGACTACGTGGTGCACCTCTACGTGGACAGCGTGCCTAACTAATTGTGAAATAATTTACGGCATATTTATGTAGCAACAATCATAATTTTAGACTAAAACTTTTGATTTATTTCCAAAAGAGCAATTTTTTCTATTGTTCGCTATATCACTGCAAATGTAAATGTAAGTGAACGACTTTTGGCACTTTCCACGACTCACCCATAACTAATGGTGCACAAATGCTTAAGATATTTGAATTAATTTGTGAACAATAAACATAGATTGGATAAACTATTTAGTTGGCCAATCATATGGCGGTGCTCAAAACATGAGAGGCCAATATAATACGAGGGCTAATCAAAAAGTATCGACACTCATAATATTACTCGGAAACCGAGCGTTGAAGAGCGAAACGATTTGTAAACCTAGCTTCTATGACTTATACTGAGCACATCTATTCGTATAAAATCTCTATAAACTTCTTCGTTTTGATTTGACGATATTTTTCTAAAATTTGTTTTTCACGTTTGGCGATTTCGTAATGAATCCAAAAGAAGCGGAACTTGCTGCCACTCGAGGGCACATTTTCAGTTTTTCAATTGACATTTAATGGCAAAAACCACGAGATGTTGCATCCCTCTGGAACTGGAAAAAAATGCAGACAAATTTTCTAAAATCTCCAAATCTGTCAAGTTACTCTTTTTTGGGGTTTATTACAAAATCGCCAAACTCGAAAAATATATTTTACAAAAATATCAGTGAAATCAAACCGAAGAATTTTATAGAAAAGCAATAAAAACAAATGTACTCAGAAAAAGTCATAGAAGCAAATGATACCAATCATACTGCTCTTCGACGCTCCTTTTCCGAATGATACTACCAGTCTTGATACTTTTTGATTAGCCCTCGTATAATGGACTGTAAACATTGATTAAAGAAAAATGTCCCATAGCAATTTTTGTTTGGTGCTGCGCCCATAAGTTAAATCTATAGCAGTATCAAAGTTAGTAGGTTGTAGTTTATATCCAGTCGACCTTTTTGAAATTTAGAAACTTTGTACAATTTTATCTGCGGTAGCAAAAAAAAAAAAGTGGCCTATTATGAAGCCATGCAAAATAATCATTCTTCGAATAAACAAGGTCGTCGATTAAAACGAGTATCTGCCACACGGTGGTCTCACAGTTATGCGCTAAAAGCAGTTCTAGAAACATTTAAATCTATCATTGACATTTTGTAACACATTAGAGACACTGTAGGGCGTCGTGATGATCATACCGTCGAACATATGGTATGGCGTTTACAGGACATTCAAAGCGATTTGTTTTGTCTGATATTTTTTTCCAGAAATTATTAAATATTTTAGCTCCACTTAACACATTACTTCTCAGTAAAAATTTAGATTTTTTTGGTGCTGTAAAAGAAATTGAAGAAGCACAAAAAAAAAAAAATCAACCCAAGAGGTAACGATAAAATCGTATGATCACTTAATAAATAAAATAATAAGGTAAAAACAAAATTGTTAAAACGGTTAATACTCGTAAATAAATATATAAATACAAAATGTACGCATAAAAATAAAATAAATAAACGAATGAGTCTCCCGGAGTATTATAATAAGTGTATTATACGACCGGTTTCGAATTAAAAATTCATCATCAGGTCAAAATCACAGTCAAAATGTAAAACGCGACCATTTATTTATTTCATTTTTATGTATATATTTTTATTTGTATATTTATTTACTATATTTATCTACTTTATAACTTAATTCATGAAGAAAATAAACCGATTATTTTCTTAAACTTAAAATCATTTGCATTCGCAAAAAGAAGAAATTGTCTGGAAAGCAAGGCTGGGCAAGTTAATCATATTTGTTAACTCAGTTAAGTTAAATTTTTTTTCAAATAAATTAAAAATTTAGTTAATAGGTATTTTGAATACATCAATAAAATTAAAATATTTTATCGACTTAACTAATAAGTTATGTTAATTTAAAAAAAAAAATATCCATTGATTAGGTATTAAAAATTAAAATACTTAATGAAAGTGAATTCGAAAACCTGCGGCGTTGTAGCATTTGTAGAACTCTAAATTCACTCAAGGATCACTTAAATTTAAATTTAAGTGTGAAAGTGGGTACCGTATTATTTAACATTAATAATTTATTAGTTTACAATATGAATAACTTAAACGAGGAAAGTAAAAAAAAAAAAAAACAACCTATTAATTTATAATTTATTATTAATTGTTCAAAATACCTATTAAATTTTAACAACAGATTCATTTCGAAATTTTAAGACATCTGTTCCACTAGTGCAATTGGAAACTGATGATTTTTATCACAAGTGTTTTTCCGTTGTTTATAAATATAATATATAAAACGCGATTTTAATTAATTTTTGATAGTAGGATACTTATCCTACTTATCTTATGGTATTGATAAAGTGATTTGGGTATATCTACTAGTTCTTTAAACCGCAATATCGTTCATAAAAGTCTACGTGCGTATCAAATATCTATTTAGGATTTAGAATATATTTCTCGTAAGTCATCGAACAAAAATTAATGTTGGTAGTATTTTCGCGCACGTTTGTTTTACCGTTTCCGAAAGAGCCCCCCCCCAAACCCCGCGAGCGCAAAAGCCCCAGGTGATCTTTCGCGTGATCTGAAATCGCGTCGTGAGTTTAACTCCAGCGAGCGCAGTCCGACCGGACCTTATTGTATTATTATTGTATATCTACGATTATTAATAATACCCGTAGGCATATGTTAAGTTGTAAAAAAACGGTTATTCTATTTACCGTGTATACATTACACACTGTCGCATTTAATTAGTATGATAATAATACATAATACATTACGTTATCCGTCCGTGTTGTGCGTGTGTGCGCGCGGGTACGGCCTGTACGACAACGCTGCCGGCCACACTAAAAAATCGTTGCCCCGTCCGTACGTATAATGGCACACGTTCATAAAAACACGAGTCGTTTAGCTAATGATATTTATTCGCGGTGTACACCGCAATAATGCGGTGCACTCACGGGCATATTGTATTATTGTATTATACACGTGATAATAATGTACGTTTTACACTGCGTCTCGATGGCCGCGGACAGTAATAGTAATAATAATAATGACAACAACAACAACAACAACAACAACAATAACAATAACGACGTACCGTTCGACATAATGACGAGACGCGTGTACGTACAGCATGATAAACGGACCGGCCGGAGTTTGATGCCCGGTCCCGGTATCGTCTTGATTCGTGCGCGCAGTATATATCAATAAAAAAAAAAAAAAAAAAAAAAAAAAACGCGAGCCGCGGTTAGGTACGCGTTCGGATCACATACTGGTTAAAATATGAGCCCCGGATAACATAACCAATACAACTCCGCAGCGTTCAGCTTTTATTTTATTTTATTTCTCCCTCTCCGAGCGGCCCGGGCGGAGATTCCCGTGCGAGCGTACGCGTCATTTGTTTCGGGAAACCATCGCGGAGCTGCGTTACACCGGAGTTTTTGTCGCTATTTCGGATTCCGGCCGTGGTAGCCGTGGTACCTGTTGGTTTTACTTTAATGCTGTTTAATTTTTTTTCTCCGTTCCGGACTCGTTTTTCCCGAGTAAACTCGTTCCGATTTTTACGTGTAGCGACTTTTCTGAAAGCTCAAGCTGTCCGGATGGTACTTTAGAAACGTCATTTTTTAAATAAAAGCGTTCAAGTGGGGGAAAAAACCGTAGGAACTTACGCGTTCACGTAAGTTCACGGTTAACTTTTTAAAACGGCAGATTGTAGTCCTCTTGGCAGCGTCATTGGAAGGGGCAGGGAAGGCCCTGTGTTGGACCGGCTACGGGTTAGTTTTGGGCCGTGAACCTGCAAACGTAATTCATGATTTATGTTGCATATGGACACTCTGAGCTACAGTTTTTTTAAGATGTATTGGTGATAATAATTGAGATAATTGTGATAATTGTATACAATATTTTTTTTTTATTGTTTTTTTTTTTTTTTTTTTTTTTTGTTAACATTGATTGCACTTTAGCTGTAAATGCCGGGTTTTCAGAAGAGTCCATTTGAATTTTTGGAGAGTACCTATTTTATTCCATAACTGATGTCCATGGTGACATGGCTATATTTTTTGTAAATACATGTATACTTCGTACATATTATCGCAAATAGAACATAAAATAAGAGAAAATTCACCTCAAATTAAATCTAAAATTAGCTAATAGGTAATATATTTATTTAGGTATCCCTCTACATGTATACTTTATTATTTAGTCATTATTGTCCCTCGAAAAAATGGGTTTTTCGTGCTTATGATAATAATTTATAAAATTATGTAACAAGATTATTTGTATTGAAATGAAAATGTAATTGTGACGGATAAATTAGCTAGCGGATTTGTTCAGCTTTATTATGGACCAGACAAATCCACAAACAAATCGAAATAATGCAACTACGCCACAAAACAAGAATGTGATACTTGTAAATTGAAAAAAAATGTCATAGGATAATGGGAATGAGTGCAACCTCTGATATAGGTTATTTAATGCGTACCCGTTTGTATTTATTGTAAGCAACGATAAACCGTTTTTTTATTAATTATTTCAACTTGAATTTACTAAATAACCTGGTTGTGTAACGTCAAGATTATGCGTTACATGAATTTTTCCATCTTATCACGTGAAGATCTTACTCAGGACACATACCTACACGTCGTACAAGTAAGAAATATAACTCTTACTCTAATTAAACTCACCCCTCTGCCCTCCCGTATCGTAGTCAGGAATGGTCCGATTTCATATTTTATTATAAGGTAGTGAACATAAAATCTGGATGCTTGCTCCCCTTTTTTTTTGTGTCTTTACGTACAGCTGATAGGTGTGTCATCGTAGGAAGTCAGATAGCTAGGATAAGATACATGATAGAGTTATTTAATTTGTATAATATTGTATGTGGTCATAGATCATAGTTCACGAAATACGATTCTGAGCAAAGTCCGGTTTAACGTGTTGAAATGATTTTAAAGTGATTTTTACTGTTTTAGTCAAAATTTGAATTCAAAAAGCCTATAAAAAAAACCTTCTAAACATTTATGCTTGAATTTCATCGTTTGACCACTAAAGGCAACGTATTTGATGAACGTTATGTACAATTTTCAAACATTTTTGCTCGGTCTAAATCCACGTAAAACACAAAATATAAAAACTATAAAAAAAAGCACAAATTTACAAATATTACTCCAATTTTTAAGTATAGTATATTTTCTATTAAGAAATGTGTTACGTGAAAGAAGTATTTTTTTTTTTGGCCGTATCTGAATTGGTTCCCGAGCTCATATACCCCACATACCGAATGGGGGGTTACCGTTTGAAAAACGTAGGTAGTAGGTACTTTCTGAAGGTGAGCCGAATTGGATCCCGTTTAATACCCACATCTATCAATAAAGACAATTAATGTAGTACATTTTTAGATTTTTATTTAACTTTTATCATACTACGGTGGGTATTTTTACAGTTATCGAGGCAATAAAATAATGTTACATCGACGTATCGCCAGAATACCGCAATCGATTAAGACAACGTCAATCCATCTGTGTATAAAATCTAGGTAGTTGTAAGTTGACATCCCTAAGCCTGTAAAAACGGAAAGGGAAATGCGCGTATTTGACTATTTTACTGCGAAAAGTGGAAACCAATTCGGCTCGCCCTCATAAAATACCTTTTTCCAAACGGAACCACTAATTCGGATACAACCTTTTTTCTTTTTTTTTTCTTCGGAGAGAAGTGGATATTCCTTGTAGTTTTCATAGTAATCGGGGTAAAAACAGAGAAAAGGGCAATAACGGTATCATTATTTTCGTTGTTCGCTCGGTTAGAAATTATCGCAGAGACTCGCAATTTTCACTAAATATACTCATAGTACTTATCTATATCTATCTATCTATCTACCTATCTGTCTATCTTTTATGCGATTTTCAAAAACAATTTTCGTTTATTTTTTTTTTTTTCCGAGCCATTTATAGGCAATTGTTTTGGCATTTAGATTGTACAAACCGTCGGTCCCGTACGGGGCCGCGCTCGGCGTCGTGTTTCGTTAGCGACGACGACACACGCGTCGCGTACCGAAATAAACCGATGTAAATCTATGTAATAATGCGCGATCGTGCGTTTTTAAATATTCCGAATACGCGGGGTGTTCGTTTATTAACCGCGGGCCGTTTTGTCGTCGGGTTTTTTTTTTTTTTTTTTTTTGGTTTTTTTTTTCCCGTCGAATCTATTTGCGTCCCCAGAACGTACGTAAACGTCGGCACGGCGACACCCGCCCGATCGACGGTTCCGTAGTCCGCCGGGATAACGTTACGGGGCGCAACGCGGTCCTCCCGCGTCATCGGCGCGCGCGTACGCGGCACCCGTGAACGCGCGACGGGTCCGAGCACCGTGGCACGATAACGACGCGGCCTCGCGCGCGGCTTTTCGCGCGAATTCGTCGACGCCGCGGAGGACGCGACGCGGTAAACACTCGCGTTCAAACTGCGCTCGGGTAAAACTCGGGTACCGCGGTTACCATAACGGTTCAACGCGGTCAGCGCCGTGCCCGTTACGCGTACGGTGTGTGCGTGCGTGCGTGTGTGTGTGCGTGTGTGTATACATATACAAGGTCTGACCAATAAGTAATGAGACTAATTCACAATAAAATACGTATATTTAGATATCAAGATAGTAGTAACAGCGTAACTCGTAGTAACAGCGCGGATTGCGTATCCGTAAAACATATTGCCCGGATAAATCGCCGCGACCGGACGACATGCGTACACGAGCCGCGCGACGGACAGTACAGCAAATGTGATTACGACGCATACGCGGCGCGAGACGGACGCGCCGTCTGAAACCGTCGCCGGCGGAATACGGCCCCGAGCGGAGCGCGCGTCGTTTTCGGGGCACCGCGATTTGTCGTCGAAACGTCGATTTATTGAACACGCGCCTCTTCAACTAAAAAGAAACTAAATGAAAATACATAAATTCTACAAAATACATAAATGATTCAGACAAAAAAGTAAAAAAAACTACCTATTCATTGATAATTTATTCAAAATATCTGTTTAATTTTATCGACATTCACTTTTAATTTATTAAAAATGACGTTCTAGGGGATAATGGGGACGGGTACAGCCACTGCTGTAGATAATTTAATGTATATCTGTAAACAACGATGAACCATTGTTGAAAAAACGATTCTGAGCCGAGTTCAGTTGGTAGTAATGCTTTGTGAACAATATTTACTTTACATGCCATGTTAAGGTAAAATAATTAAGTAGGCTCTATACATTTTCTTTAATAATATTTGCCTAATGCAGGGGCGTCTCCAGACTATGGGGGAGGGCGAAACAATTAAATTTAATATTAACGGTTGTTAAGAAAAAGAATACAGACATACTTCGCACAATGGTTGGACTATTGTTATTGATGAGAAGTTGAGAAGGTTATCGAGGGAAATTTAATGTATATATCTGTACCTAAGTAAATTTAAATATCGCCAGAAAAAAAAAAACGATTTTGAGCGGAGTTCGGGCGTCGCTTTGTCATATTTTGGTAAAATAATTACGTAATATGCATATTAACTCTAATCGTATTTGTTTGATATTATACCTATTTTCCCATTTTTTCCGATTTGGGAAATTCGAAAAATGACCTCTCTATAGTACCACCCCAGTCGGATTTCCTTTCAGACAAAGTGTTACACTTGAAAATCGGAGCAAGATTTCTGGTAGATAAATTGTCCACAGAAAAAAAAAAAAAAACATTAATATCGTTGTAAAACCAATACATTGGCCGAGGACGTAAAAATTGGATTCTCAATATAACTGATAGTCAGTAATTATAGTTTTACAGAGACGCGATTGTTTTTCGGAAAACGTGTGTACTGACGGTCAGTGGCGAATTTAGGGAGGAGAGAATACGGGGGTTTTATCATTAGCATTCGTCAGTATTTCTCGTTGTCGCTCGTCAGTTCAGTGTTTCAGTTATAAATCAACTTGTTATTGGTTATTACAATAACTTTTAATAATGTCCGATGATGACCCGGCAGACTTCTTAAAAGCGCGGGGCTTCGGTCCTGTCTCAATATATCGATACGTTTCGGAGTGGGTATTATCAACACGCTTGCACTACACAGTACCTAATGGAGAAACGGTAAACTTATTAAACCTGTCTACTTACCTAATTTTACGTGCTTAAAAGATGACATTTTTTTTTTTTTTTCCCCGTCCAATAATAATATACCGTTTAACAAATATTACAAATAGCCCGCGATTCTACGACCGCGATAATAGTGTTTGTATACGCGGTTACCGTTCATCGCGTCTCA